TCCAAATTAGATATAGCATAGCTTCATCATAACTTATTATTGGGACCTTGTAAGAAAATAAATATGCCAGCAATTTGGTATTTTACTTGCACAATAGATGCTATAAATGTCTGGACTTGGCAGGGATTTACTGGTTCTCGAGACTGGGGCCAAGGCCTGCTTTTACCTAACTCAGAGGATGTTGGATGGAAGCCACGGCTGATGGAAATGCTCACTGGCAGGAACGGCAGAGAAAATGCAAATTCCAAATGCAGTGAAAGCTGAATCAGAAGTGTAGAATGTCCCAGAAAGACAGCTGTTAGTAAACTGAGCTAGTATCTTCTCCAAACTGTGCTACAAGGCACTAGTTTCATTGCAGTAGCTATATTCCCCTCCCCCCAAGTTATTTTTTTTAGCCAGTAGAGAAAAAAGAAGTCTTATGTGATTCACAACAAAAATTACAGACTAAAACCTACTGGTGTCATTTTAAAGAGAATCTGGGTAGACCCAGGTATGCATTCACTCTTGGATGCTGTTTTCCTCATTTCAGTCACACTTTATCCCAAATTTGCCTTATGTCAATAGCAGTTCTGCATCTCACACAGTATGCAATGTTGGTTCATTTGCACTGCAATGTGATTTTTTGTTTTGGCTTAGCTTTATGACATATACCCTTAGAATGTCTATAGGAAATATGAATAAAGGTTTGTATAATTCATAGATAAACTACTCCCAAAACTCCTCTGCTAAGTGTTTGGCTTTTTTTTCTTTTTCACAGGAGTCTCTTCTTCTGATTCTGAAGGTGAAATAATTAAAGACGAAATGGATCAGTAAGTTGAAAATCAATTACATCTTCCATATCTCTTACAATTTAGAAATCCCACAAGCACAGACATTTCAGTTTCCATTAATATTTTGCAACTTCCAACACATTAGGCTTTTGTTTGGGATCTGCTTGAATTGTTTGGGTTTTGATTGGGTGTGTTTTGTTTGTGTGTTTGCTTGTTTGCTTCAAAATAGTATGGAACAACTACACATTTGCTTGTGCGTCTTCAACTTTGGGTTAAGAATTTAAACTTTAATATTAAATATAAACATAAGGAGAAATATGTTACCTGAAAGATTAAACTACTAAAATTAATGTACTAAACCAGATGCCGTTTGATGGCATCTTAAGATTAAGACCCATCTTAAATGCTGATTTAGGTGTCCAATTTCAAAGTAAGATTTCTTACATGAAAGTATGGTATATCATGAAGTTTTTGGCAGAAGATGGCTATACATGCATTATTTAGATTTAAGATAAGGAAATTAATAGATATGAACTAATGCAAACTGAAATGGTGGCATAAAAGACTAGTTAATTATCAAAATAAAGGTGTCAGACGTAATCTAAAACCTGGGAAATAATTTTGTTTTTCCTAAATGAAATCCATTCCCCATGCATTTAGAATCTGATCAAATCTTTCAGAATCAAAGTCTTTCTGTGAACTCAAAGGAAGTCAGGCTGGTTGAAAACTAAAATAATCAGTCTTTTATTTTGAACTCCTTTGTATGCACTAATTCAACCTCAAAAGGAATCAGTGCATTATAAAGAGGAAATTTTAATTGAACAGACTTGCATCCTCGTTTTTCCATTATTTATTAATCATAGAATCATAGTATAGTTAGGGTTGGAAAGAACCTTAAGATCATCTAGTTCCAACCCCCCTGCCACAAGCAGGGACACTACCCACTAAACTATGTCGCCCAAGGCTCTGTCCAACCTGGCCTTGAACACCGCCAGGGTTGGAGCATTCACAACTTCCTTGGGCAACTCATTTCAGTGACTCCCCCCCCTCACTGTAAAGAGCTTCTTCCTTATATCTAACCTAAACTTCCCCTGTTTAAGTTTAAAGCCATTACCCCTTGTCCTACCACTACAGTCCCCAATGAAGAGTCCCTCCCCAGCATCCTTTGTAGGCCCCCTTCAGATATTGGAAGGCTGCTATGAGGTCTCCACACAGCCTTCTCTTCTCCAGGCTGAACAGCCCCAACTTTCTCAGCCTGTCTTCATACTCGTTACAAATGCCATTTTCTTTTAAAATGCAAATACAAAGCACTTGAGTGTGTTTGGCTGAAGGCCTCACGCTAACAGCAAATCCTGTCTTAGGTGATTTTTACTTCAGAGTAATAACATACTCCAGATTGTATTCGTTTACGGACTTCGATAAATGTAAGAGTTTAATGTAAAACTTGAGATCAAGAAGATCTCAAAGGTTTTTACATGAATTGCTAAGGTTTTCATAGTTTTAGCTCAGATTTTTCCAAGTGTTTCTGGCATAACATATTTTCTTATTCATCTCATTAGGTGTTAATGTAATGTTGACTATGATCCTGATCACTTGATGACATCTTTAAGTTGCTTACCTCATTAAATTGTGAAGTAATTTTTAGGGAAAAAAATAATGCTGCTCTGACATTGTAGCAGGATGTCCTCACATGGTAGAATTACGAAATATCAGTTTGGGGTATAAATCAGAGTGTCTTTATATTTGCTTAGCTTCCAGCTGTTGTCACATGAATCTGAACACCTGTAATTAAAGGGAATTAATGTAAGAACAGGTGCAAAAAAATTCATAATTTAAAAGAGAAATCAGTCATCACCATAACTGTATGTTCTTTCTTAGTAAGGCTTCCTCTGGTTTCAAGAATGGCTTTCTGCAGGGACCTGTGATACATTCCAGAGCAGTCAGTGCTCAAACTGAATTAAAAGTTTTTCATCTCTTCATTGTCTGCATTATTTCACTTAGCAGTAAAAAAAAATAGGGTCACTCTTTTACTTCTATATAGAAACTACCTAGAAGTGAAGACGTGACAACCTGTACACTACCAAAATTGCATGGTATGTTGGTCAGAAAACATACCTTTCTGTTTTTATTTTTCAGCAGTAAATTACTGAATCTGTATCCTAGTAGACCATAGCATTTTCATTACCTTATAGGCCCAAATCTTCATAGAAGTTCAGGGAGCAGTGCAAGGGAAACTAGCACTGTCCTCTGAGACACTAGCACTGCTCTCTCATGCTGCTCAGAGCTGGTAACAGTAGCTTTCAAGCCACAGTTGAGTTAATCCAGGCCATTTATTAAACTTGGTGTAACGGAGCTACGTATGAGAGATTAGAATGGCAAGATATGCAACCTGATTCTTATAAAATACAGTTTACCTAGGAGTACATAGCAGTCTAGATCAATTGGAATTCAATCCCAGAAGTGAAGCTGGGGTTGACATGTAACTGGGACAGACATAACTAAGGGACACACACATAGCTTTAGCTTTCAATTAGAGAATTTGTTTTTGGTTAATATTCCACAGCAAACCAAAGCCAGCTGACACCTTCTCGAACGCAGCATCTCCTACTGTTAGAACTGCAACAAAGCATCTAGAGACCTCCAAGGCACCATCTGCTGTGGCTCAGCCTGTGTCTGTACCTGTCCAGCCTGTGTCAACATCAGTTAATCAGGTAGGGGAGACAATATGGTGAATTTCAAGGACCAAAAGCAAGCTCTTAAAAAGGTGTTTCTTCTACAGTTTGTGACTCAGAACCCACACATTTTCTAGTTTTTGCTTTGCTGATGAACTTCAGCTTTGAACCTTACTGCCATACAGTAGCTGCGTACACAGAAGAGATGTTCTGCCTACTAGCTAACCTTTAGCACCTGGCACAGGGAAGGGAACCTTTCATCCCCAGGTTACAGGCATCTCTGCAGCAATGAGCAGAAGGAGCAGCTGCTGCTAGCTCAGCCAGCGGTGGGAATCTGTGCAATCCAGCAGGTCAGAGACTGCATGCCATGAAGGGCACTGGGATGTGTAACTCAGCTCACGGGCCTCTTCTCATTACAGACTGACCCATCCACTTTCAATAGCGGCAGCCTATAACATTTTCCTCTCCCTCTCTACCTCTTTCAAGAACTCACTTGAAATAATTTTCTTTCAATTAAACTTATTTTAAGTGGAATGATTTCCCTACTATGTTTACTTTATATGTAGATATGCTTATTTACACGTAACATTTTAATATCCATATCAAAGAGTTTCTAATTAATGTTAACATGCATTTCAAGTTGTTTTTGCTGCAAACTATCAGAATATTCATAACTGTGCATTTTTTCCTAATGGAAAGAAGAGCCATATCTTCTTAAAAATAAAACTGAGGCACTTCACACTGCCTTTTCAATGTTTGCAGCTTAGAATTGGGTGGCAACCAGTAAACAGATACTGACTAGGTGAAGCAAAGCACATTTATTTTTGACTATAAAGAGAACAGAACTAAGCCTTAGTGACATTATGCCATTTTGACAGAGGTTGCTCAAGTCCAGAGTGGTGGTTATCTCAAAAATCATCACTTTTAATTTTGTTAGGTTTTAAGACACCATCTGTAGAATTTGGCTATGTTTCCTGAGATACTGAAGTGCTAATTCTGCTGTTCTGGGGCAGATTCTATTTCACTACAATGGAAAATTCTATTAATCAAGTCATATAAGGAAGTTTTCCAGGAGAATAATTTCATTCTGATTTCGCTGAGTAGGATCAATAGGGCCATATTTCACCTCTGAAATTATTTGGTTTTGGCAAAGGAGAATTACAGTACCAGTCACACACATGACTTGACTTAACTTTTCCTTATTAACATTCACAGATATTTTGTAAGTATGAGGTTTTAAGAGGGGACTACCACCAAGCAGCCTACACAGATCTGCCTTAGTGAAGTATTAAGGAAAGATGTTATGCTGTAGTGAAGTTTTCCTTGTCATGACTTACTCAATAAGGCAATAAGAGCATTGTTACTCAGGCAGTAACCCATTGAGGAAGATCACTAGCAGTTGCCTACAATAGAGCAACTTTTTCTCATTGCATTAAATATTTTGCCTTAGACTTCACCCACCAGAATCTCTTTTGTGTCATTCCAACACCATGTTTCTTCTGTATATGGAAAAATAACCACTGCACACCTAAATATTATCAAATGATGTTTTGCAATCTGCAGGCTCAAAGCCCCACTAACTATTTGCAAGGACTTGATGGAAGACCTATAATTGCTGCTCCTGTATTTACAAAGGTAATTTGTTCTATGACATATTTGAAAACTAGAGGCCAATTAATTGTACTGAGAGGTAATTAATTTTTTCTAACAAAGATAAACAAAGGAATTATGCATTTCTTAAGCCATTCAAGGATTAAGCGGCTTTATGAAATCTTACTGAAATCAGTATTACTTCCAGACCAATAAGACATTTACTGACTGTCTATTCGTTTTCTCTATTAGATGTTACAGGATATTTCAGCTTCTGAGGGGCAGCTTGTGGTCTTTGAATGTCGGGTGAAAGGAGCTCCTTCCCCAAAGGTTGAATGGTATAGAGAAGGAACACTGATAGAAGATTCTCCAGATTTTAGGATATTACAGAAAAGTACGTTTCTTGTGTGGAAATACTGTGTCTAATAAAATATAGGCAAGCAACAAAACTGCTAATAGCAACACTTTGAATTTCTTATTGCAATAGTAAGAACTATATAAGCCATATTATGGCAATATATCTGGGTTCCAGAAGGCAAAACTGTGGATGAATTAAACAGCATATTCACAGGTAGCATTTGTCTGAGATTCTCCAAACTACTGAGTTGGTTTGCCTTCTGCTTTGATCCCTTTGCCACTTCAATATCCTTTTCTAATCCAGACTTAATTTTCATGTTTGTTTTTGGGTTTGCATCATTTATGTAAAGCTCCATTGCCCATAAATCCCTCATCTTATAGTCAAGTGCTATTACAACAGAGCTTATGGGCAGTGGATTGCTTATTTATCCACAAAAAGTAACCTGATGTACGCGTTAGCATGCTTACATATGTATGTGCACATGATATACGTTAGGTTGTAAACATATACTTCTACTTTAATTTTCAAATGCAGTCAAAAAATCTGCAGTTTTCTCGTAAGTCACTGGCATGTTATAATTGCTAAAACTCAATAGAAATTCCTTAAATACCACAGGAAATTAAACATAAAGGAAAAAATGTTTTATCATAACTTGTTTTCATCGTGTTATAGTTTCAGAAATTGTCTTCAAGACACAATAAAGTAGTACTAAGATTTCAAAAAAAACCCCAAACAACCAACAACCCAACTGCTTGCAGAATTTATTTCCTATTCATAAATTCTCAAAAATGTTCATAAGCATTCATATTGTTCGGTTGATTTGACATACATTTGAGCACAAGGCCTGGCTGCCTTCACCAGCCCTTAAATGGAAAATTGCACCAAAAGGAGTATTCCATCATGCTGAGAAGATCAAGCTTTGTATTTAGTGCTTAAGAAAAAGAAATATCATTGACAAAAGGAAGTAGTAATTCAACCTTCTAATTCTGCTCTTCTTCTCTTTAGAACCAAGATCTATGGCTGAACCAGGTGAGGATCATCAAAAAGCTCATACTTTTTTGATTTTACAAATGGGTGATTTAACTTCACAAAATACTAATTAAACTCCATAATTTAATTAACGTAAGTTCTTCTTTCTCACACATTCTATAGCTACTTGTAAGATGCATGTCATTCTAGACTGGTCCATAAACATGTAATTTGAATTAATTCTATCATTTTTAAAGAAAATAGTATTTCCATTCTTCTTTGACCCAGTTCTAACTTAGAACCTAAATGTTGCCATCTTACGAGCTAAAGATTTACAAAATTAATGGATGAGGGCCCCCGTATATCTGAGGTTCATAAGTACACCAGATGATGTAGGACTGAGCTATTTTTATCTGGTTTACCAGTTAGGGAACATTGCATAAGACATTTAGCCATGTCAGCCATTCCCTTTGCTCTCTCCTAGCGTAATATGAGAGTATCACATCAGGTGTTCCACCCCTGATATCAGCAAATCCTATAAAAGTGGCTGGAGTTGCTAATTTCATGGATCAGAGCAGCATGTAGGCTACTCTGCATATTTTGAGCAAAGGAGCTTTACAGATTTTTACTACTCTCCCCATTACAATCACTCTCCCCATTATGGTTTTCACTATTAAAAATGTAAAGCTGCCCCTCTTAAGACAGAAAATTACCAAATGATTATTAATTCCTGTGGAATATAAACTTCCATAACTCTTCTCCCTACCCTATTAAAAGATTTTTACTCCCAAAAATGTCTTGAATGAAACTTCCTCACTGCAACGTCTCTCTCCAAGACCTAGGAATGAATAAATGGAGCTTCTACCAGAAGCCACCAATGCTGTTCCTTTACTGTCCAGTGGCATCACTGCTGAGTAATGTGAAGCAATTTTTAGAGGGTCATCAGTTAGGTGCAGTTGTCACTGCCTCATCACCTGCTGCTGATTCAGAAGGAATCTGTATTTCCATGCATGCAGTGGTTGGCAAATCCAAGTATATAAACTAGATACTATAATACCTTAAACTAGTTCTATAATCCTAGTGCTATAATAAACTATTATTCTCCTATAGTTGTTAGCAAATAATCTCTTTGTTGCTACTAGATTTTCCTCACTGATGACATGAAACAATCGAGTTTATGTGCAGTATGGTCTTCCACAGAAATACTCGTTAAGATATTAATCCTGTAGGGTTTTAGGAACGTTTCTTGCAAAATGGTAGCAAAACAGTCACTGACTAGCTGAAGAAATGCTATCAGCCCTCATTTACATACACTTCTGACGCTAAAATTTCTCCCCATCCTAGCTACCCAATCAAACAAAAGATTTAAAATCCCATCACCATAAGTCATTATTAGCTGGTATTGCTGCCCAGACATGTCAAATCCTGGTCAGACAGGAATGTTATAGCCCCAGACTGACTTTTCAAGATGGAGTTCAATTTTTTTCTAGTACAATTTTGCTAGCACATTTTTGATGCCCATTAATCTTCTTCACAAAAAAGTGAAAATGCAACTTTCTAGAAGCATAATCCCCTCTACCTGCAAATCTGCACTGGTACTTTTGGAAAATGCCAGCCTATACATACATGTTTTGTATTTCACCTTACAGAGTGACTTCACTTGAATCGTTCCTGGTTAATTATAACTAATCTTTCAATTTGCAAAGAGGTGAAAACATATATTTTATTGAGTTGTGAATATAGAGTACACTGTGTTTCTCCACATTAAATTTTAAGGTCTTCAGAAAGGAAGTCTGTACTTTGTGTGGTTAGGTAAAATATTTTCTAATGTCTTCCAAACACTGCTGACACCTGTTCTTCACTTTTGTTGGGCATGCTGGAGCACAGAGGGTACCAGTTGCTACAGACAATGCTGATAACAGCTGCTGCACAACAAAAGCTGCCAAAACTGATTATGAAACTAAAATCAAACTAAGCAAGGTGGAAAACTTAAGGAAATGTCCCCAAGGGTAGTCAAGGCTTTGTGTGTTTGTTCAATGCATGTTCACTTGAAGTAATAATACTGTTCTGATGCTCTGCAGAGGAAATTTGTACTCTTGTTATCGCTGAAGTATTTTCAGAAGATTCTGGCAGTTTTACCTGTACTGCAAGCAATAAATACGGCACAGTATCTAGTATAGCTCATCTAACTGTCAAAGGTAAGAGTTTGTTTTAGTCTTTTGCCTGCTAATAAATGTAACCAGAGCAGGCTGCTGCTCTGTGCAGTCCAGGCTGCTTATTGTACATAGAGATTGCTATGTCTTTTCAAAGTGCCCTTCCCCAATTAGAAAAGTGAAGGAACAAGGAACATTAGGGAATGAATCACACACAGCCCTTCCAAAAACACAGATCTTGCTGACCTCAAGATTTGGGAAATAGCCATTTTTGGAATCTCTGTGGATTGTCTAGATAGCTGTTTCAATAACCCTTTGGTGCAGAGCCCAAAGGAGGAAACCTCAAGACAGATTCTGTCATACTGCCTACCTCATTTAAGCTGCCAAGGCACTATGCATTTAAGTGACCAAAGTAAAGTATATAAAAAAGAATAGCGTGAGTTGACTCCAATTCAGCTCAAGTTCTGGCAGTGTTTTTCATGACTGAAAAAGTTAGAGAATTCTCTGAAAAGAAAGTTTGTATTTCAAAGATGCTAGTGGAATTCACAGGAGACACAGCTGAAGACCACTGCTTGATCTTCCAAATAAGAACTGTGCCTCTTTTTCCCCCACCTTTACAATATTCCTTCGTTAAGGGAAGTTGTTGCTAAACAAATAGGTTAAACAACTTGTTCCAACAGCTGGAAGAACATCAGAGTGAGTTTTAACTGTAACTTTTGTGATCTTATTTCACTATAATTTATGGGGTTTACGTATCACCACAAGTTTGATATTTGCCATTTCAGCATCTGAAGACAGTAGTAATGCTGCTACCCTTCACACAATGAGCTCAATCAACTTAATTGCTGCTGAACATCAACCTCCCCCATGTACTCCTTCCCATCGTGTAGTAAATCAAACCCCAAAACCTAAACTTGAAGGTGTTCTTGTGAACCACAATGAACCCAGATCAAGTTCCAAGATAGGTCTCAGGGTGCACTTCAAGCTGCCTGAAGATGATAAAGGAAGTGAATCATCATCAGAAGATGGACCTGGTGCTACAAACCAAAACAGACCCAACTATTTCCAAGAGACGATAAATGGACAGACAATGAAAATACCAGAGCCAACATCGCCATCCAAGGAACCCCCTCCAGTACTGGCTAAACCAAAGCTGTAAGTAAAAGGGATTCTAACTCTCAGGTGCATCACTGATATTGTTTAGTATTCATAGAACACCACACTATTGCACTAGAGCAAAAAAATCAAATGCAGAACAGAAAGACAGTCATTATCACTTGGTGCTGGCCTTAGAAACATAGAGCATAGAAAACAGAGCTAGATAATTTTTTCAGTATATCACTCTTGTGAAAGCTGTTCCCCAATTTTAAAAGAGAAATGTTTTCCCTTTGAAATTTTCTTTAATTCCACTATGTTTTCTGCTGCAAACAAAAGATGGACAGCACTGATTTTATTCAGGCAAAATAAAAGCAGTTTTTTCAAATGTATCTCACTCAATTCTGGGTATGCAATTTTGCCAAGACCAGACATTTTCAGTCTACACATAGCATGGGGTAGCAGCTAACTAGCAACTGTAGACCCCAAGACCTCATGACTTTCATGTCTCACAAACATAATCTACTCCTAAACCAGATAAATACTTGGAAATGTTTGATAATGTGAAAACCCTTGATCTAAAAAGCCCTGCATGATTAGTGCACTGTGAGCTCAAGGGGAAATTTTAAGTACTGTAGTTTTCTTATAGGACAATTTATGGAATTCACACTGCAGTTTATTAAGAAATACCTTTTTAGCATTTTTGGAACCTCCCATACCTAGTTTAACAAAAAGCATGCAGAGTCCTTAATTTCATTTCTTCCTTAAGGCTCAGGAAGGACTTTATAAAGTAATTAATTGGTACTCTTAAGCAGGGATGTAATTTCATACCATAAACATTACAAGCCAGAACTTACATGCCATGCAGCACAGGAAGAACTTGGAGCAGTTGTTTTTTAATTTGCTAAGCCCATGTTCACAGTTCTATACACTTTCAGAGCTATGGTGTGTTTAAGGGGGGGGACAGAAGCAGTGTTTAAGTTGTCCAATGCTTGCATAAGGCAGAATTTCTCTCCCCAAGAAAACATAACAAAGGAGTGCATTATTACGCACATGTATATATGAAGGACACAAAATCAGGACTGCACAACTTCTAAGTTTGTAACATGCTACTTTTGGAAAGCTTTACATTGTCATCTTTAGCTTCAGTGTGATTTTTGTTTAATACATTATAGAAAAAATAATTCTTTAAAAGAATTTCTCTTGACTTCATGTATTTGGTTCATCAGTACCAGCTGTGGTTGGTCTCTACTTTTACATTTTTCACTTTTTAACAATAGTTATTTAATATTCAACTATTTATTACATTATAACTTTCCATATTCTTTATGTTGGCTTTGGTTTTCAAAGGGGAAGTTAGCCTGCTTTTCACGTGCTCTATTTCCACATACTTAATAACTAAATAAATCATTTGACAAGGTAAAATAATTTTCCTTAATTGCAAAGTAAAAAAAGCCCTGAAGACATATACAGTAGATAGTGCACTGCATGAAATGCAAGTACTCTCTGAACTGCACTCCTGCCTGTCACCAAATGCCAACACCTCCTTAAACTACATTGGTAATATCTCTTTTGGTGGATTATTACAAAGGCTCATTAGCCAAAATGCTGCTTTCAGAACCCACTTTAATAGCAGCTAAGTAACTACAGCCTGGCTTACAAATGCTCATTGAGAATCCAGTAAACCAAATCCTACTCTTAGTTACACAAGCAGAGAGGTATGAAAGTGACAAAGAGCAGAATATGACAATGCTGTCCCTTAAATATTTTTTACAAGGGCATGTAGTGATAGGTCAAGGGGGAATGGCTTTAATCTGAAAGAGGGTAGATTTAGATTAGATATTAGGGAAGAAATTCTTCACTATGGGGTTGGTGAGACACTGGCACAGGTTGCCCAGAGAAGCTGTGGATGCCCCATCCCTGGAAGTGTTCAAGGTGAGGCTGGATGGGGCATTGAGCAACCTGGTCTAGTGGAAGGTGTCCCTGCCCATGGCAGGGAGTTGGAGCTACATGATCTTAAGGTCCCTTCCAAACCAAACCATTCAATGTTTCTATGATTCATGTGTCAAAATGTAAGAAACATCTTCAGTCAAATCATTTTCATACAAAATATGTTTGTGCCTCTGGCAAAGAATGGAAGAAGAAGGAAAAGCTTGTTTTAGTAGCAAACTAATATTATGCTTTCCTCATAATGTTAGAGAATACGTCACGTAGCAGTTTCCCATACCTCTTACTGTATCACAATTCACATAATGGAACTGTAGTTAGCCAGCACATTCAGGGCTCATGACCAACTTTGTTCATCTTTGTTTCCTATGCAGTGATCAGACCCAGTTAAAACAGCTCCACAACCAGGTCTTGCTTGAACAACAGCAGGTGCACCAGACATCTACAAGAGAGTTGTCATTTAACTCAGCTTTACTGAATTCTGCTACTTCACTTCATCAACAGTCAACCTCGACTACATACAAGCAAAGCAATGCTTCTGCTTCTCAACCTTACAGCTCTACCCGACCTAAGCAACTCCCACCACCACAAACCACACCACCTACCAGCTCCTCTTCTAGCTTCTTAGTTACAACATTCAGCAACATCCCTCAAGGAACTCAAAGAACAAATAACAAAGAAAATTTTACAGGCAATCCTCCACCTGTCCAATCAAGGTCTTCAGGAGGGTTTACAAGCAAAACTGAACAGTCTCTACCAAGCCCTAAAGAATCCATGGTGCCTCCATTAATTCTTTCTACATCTAGTGTAAAACAGTTTCAGCCACAAAGTGTGACTCCTGCTCCCATCTCCCCAACTGGCCGGATTCAGAATCCTGTAGCTTTCCTCAGTGCTGTTCTTCCTTCACTTCCTACTGTGCCATCAACCAATGCTATGGGACTGCCCAGATCTACACCAACCACGTAAGTAGCATAAACCACATGCACAGAAGCAGAGACAAGAAACATGCATAAAGGAAACTAAGATGTATTTCTGTTCAAGGGTTCAGTGGGGAGTTTACTGAAATGCAAGTCATTTATAAAATCAAAAAGCAAGTTATTCATATATTCTGGTCCTTCAATCTAAACTTTACATTAAGTTAAGAAAGAAAGAGATAGTAACTTCTAGAATAAAATGCATCAAGGGTAAGATAAATACAACATAGAGACATGTGAGTTTATAAACAGATGTATACCAGAATTTGGGGGCTCAGAGATTCATAAGACTGTACTAGTGGGAGAAAAGAGATTTCGTAAGTTTGCAGGGTAGGTCACTCTAAGACTATTTGCCTGTATGAGCTATAAAAATATTCTTATCTACTGTAAGCAACAAATACAGTTGTAAAAGATACCTCATAATCTATGTTATTTTTTAGTCCAGGTAAATCTAAGAAATAACCTATGTAAAGGTCTCTGGCTACAGTATTTTCTATATTTAAAATCCACCAGAAAATCTCAGGAGAGTTAATTATTTTCACATAAATATTTTAACTGATAGTCAGCATGATTTCTGTGATGAAATGGCTACCACCATACAAGCAAATAAGGACGATGATGTACTAGAAAGGCTGTGACTTTAAGAGTTCCTTCTTTACTAGTAGAGTTGAAATTATCATCCCTTTTGTGGACCATGTAAATCATGTGTTAACACAGCTAGCATGAGTAGACTGATGTAACTTTTATCCGTAGAACTCCAAATTCTTCACAAAGTAAGGAATGTTTGCCCCTTTTACCAATGGTATACTTAAAGGTAGTGACAGCGATCAGTAAGTCACAATCTCCTAACTATCTTCCTGATACTACATCAACTGATCTCAAATTAGAAAATGTGTTCCTGTGTACATAACATTCACCACTCCTTGTGCCAAGAAATCCTGTCTTCAAACCACTCTTGCACTCCTACTCACAGACTTCCTAGTTGCCCAGCAGAGCCACATAATTGCCATCACCCTGTGCACATGCCTGGAGACCTTCGTGGCCCTGGCATCATGAGCAGGCATATGTAACAAAGTCACAGTGTTCACAGTGAAGCTTTTAACTATAGCCAACTCAAGCCCTGGGCCTGCTTTCACAGTATTGCAAGAGCAAGCAGAAACCAACTGCAACTGCTCATCCTCTCCCTCACCTCCCCTTCAGAGCTGGTGCACAAATGCACAAGGCCTATTCTCTTTGCATTAATGACATTTAACCCTTGCAAAGTGCTTTACGTTCTCTAACTGCTGTACAGGCATTACCAAATACATCCTTACAGTATGTAGAGTAGTTAAATATTGTTTTCTTTATTTCACCTTTCCTGGGTCCCAGCCCAGAGATGAATTCCCACATAACTAGAGTTTATCGTGCTGAGATTCAAATCTAGATCTCTACATGGGAGAGAGTCAAAGTGAGGGCACAAAAGATGAGGCAGGAACCTGAATGGTATTTGTGCTAATCTGTGACTATCTACTAAGTTTCAGTTTCCTTTTTTGGCATTATCAAGTACAATAATTCTGGTTACAAAAGCAGTGAGATCACGATGTCTGCAGAACAACAGAAGTAAGAATATCTTGCACAGTAATCATCAGTTATGCCCTTTACCTAGACACCCTGTTACTAAGATCCCAGCTCCTGGTGAACTACTAGAATGCTGTGCTTCAGCAGTAAACTCTCTTCAGCAGTGCACAGTCTTATTTAATAATTTAACTATTCTCAAACCTTATTAAAATTAAACAGACTACATCTATAAAATAAAAATAAAAAGAACTGTTTATGTTAGGTGCCATAAAAGGGTGAGAAAAATGAAAGAAGTTCATGGGAAGAGAAAATGATAAATGAAGTGATAAAGATCAATGAGAAATTGTATTAACTTTATAATTAGTGCCTGATTCAGTAAAATGTACAAATTGTACAACTAAGGTAACACCCATACACATTTCTTTACCATTAATTGTGACATCATTATTCCAGGACAAATATAAATGGAACTTAGATGCTTATAATAGTATGACAATGCTTGTTATCTTTCAGATGTGCGTCCTTAATTCCTACTGGCATGGGAATAGGATGCAACTTTAAAATAGTATAAGAAAAATAAAACGACATATTGTGCTTTGGCTCGTACATAAATAAATAACACGTTCCTCTAGACAACTGAAGTGTAACATTTCATATCACACAGGTGACAAAAAAAATACATACTGGTTGCTGCATGTTAGTATCAGAATTTTCTTTTAATAGCCCAACCCAGGGATTAATAAAGAAAAATCTGAAGCCTCTGCCATTAGCAACAGATGATTCTATTCGGGAAAGTAAAGCTGCACTTGTGAAGGACCTGGAAAGAAAACTCCATTTCAGAGAGGATGTTAATCAACAAAGTAGTCAGCAGGTAAGAAAAATGAGTGCTATTAAAATAAATTTCACTCATGAACAAGACATGTATTGTGGAACAAAAGTTGTTTGTGCAGTTTGAGCTGCTACGGTACTTTGCAGAGTGAGCTTTTTTGGTAAGTACTGGTTTGGAATAGCAAACAAGCTTTAAATAGTATGACGGATTGCAGCTGTAAAGGGTTTACTTTGTGACTGAGTAGCATTTCTATTTTTCTGACCATCTCTATTAGAGACCAGTAGGAATGTAAAACTTCCTTCTTTTCATGGAGGCTTCTGTACCTTGCATTTCATTTTTTCACTTCACAAGTTGCTCAACTCATTGCACACATAGACATCCATATACTGTATATTTTTAACACACATTAAGAAGTAATCAAATTGTTTAAGAAAAGGTTTCTGTTTTTACTTCGGTTGAACTAAAATGCAGTATTCAATGTTCAGCATTAAACTTATTTTTCAAAATCTCCCAAATTGCATGTATTGCCAGGGACTTCTTAGGAACCTACCAAAGTTTTTGGTAGCTGTTACTGGCATATACCAGACTTTAGGCATTAGTAATGTTTAGCAAAATATGAAGCCTTTTCCAGAGTTCAAAGAACTAAATATCAGTTCATTCTTAACTGGAATAAATGAATTCACCAGATCTGGTCAGTGTCTATGAAATTAAAGAGGAACCAAAAAATGAAATTATGTTTTGAGGTTGAAATCACTGTAAATCAGGTTCAACCACCTTCATATAACAATAGGACACACCAAGGACAGCTAGGTAGCCGTTCTGTCTGTAGGTGATTATGCTGCTCTCACCTTGCTGTCCCGCCAGCTCAGGCTTAATGCAGCAAATAATGGTTTACCCTGATCTGTCATCGACAAGGGAAGTTTTCACAATGTCTGTTAGCCCTTTTGACAGAGAACATGCAAAGATAAGCAAAAAGCCATGGAGCCTCTGGAGCAAATTACCCTCTGTGGACAACTGCAGTGTAATCCCTGGGTTTTTTTGATTTTGCTGTTGACCTTTCTTTCTGACAGATCATGCTGCCAAAGCACTTTGAGTAAAACAACTGGCAAGCAGTATGTTTTGCAGATGAATCACAAGTGTTACAATTTGTACTTGCAATGGTAATAAGACAAATTATTTAGAGAGCTACTGTGAAATACCAATCAGTCTTTTGACTTAGCTGCATGATAACCCCTTTAGAAACAATGACCGCTACTAGTGTCGAAGTTATCTGCTGACAGCAAAAGTTATTTATATATTTATACTCTTATTTGCTATTCTCTATGAGACCAAATGAAAATCTTGATTCTGAAATCCCCCAAACACTGAAAAACTTCAAAGCTGGCAAATCTCTAATTGTTATGGTAATTAGAATGTCAATGAAAACGAACTGGCAAACAATTTTAGGATTGCTCAATAGAAGTTCCCTCATTTTCCCCACAGTTCCCACCTTTAACCACTTCCAATTTTATTTTTCCGCATCCAAGAAGACCACTGCCCAGACTGACTGAAGAAAATTCAAGTCTGAGTTTTCTCTTCAGTGAAAGCAGTGATTATTTAAAGAGATGAAAGAATGCATAGTATTTTCCAAAATTCCTACCGCTTTGCTGTTTTTAGAACAATCAATATCATGAGAATAGTATGTTGGAATACTGGATTCACACCCATTGATTTTGTCCTGTTTTTTTCCTCTTGTAGTTAACACAGAATTAAAAAGGATCCTATATATAGCACATCTGCATTAAATTGGTTATTATAATGGGAGGGAGGGGCTCTTTATTCACTTTCTCATAAATACAAATGTAACTCTCCTCTGTGTGAGAGATCACTGCATAATGAATGGAGTACAACATTCAATAAGAATCTCAAAGTGTTGGCTTCCTTGCATTTTCTGCATGCCATTTTAAATATTTCTTCACATAAAATGTGTCCTATAGAGTATTTTTATTTAGAGAATGGTATTGTAACCCCATATTTCAATAGCAGCATTTGGTCTCAGTTAAAATACCTGCAGAACGTCTATGGATCATCCAGAATGAAAGCTGCAGATGACAAGTCTGTGCTTTAAAGTACTGGTATTGTCTTATCTTACTATATAAAGCGCAGTAATGAACATGAGTGATTTACATCCTGGTGCTCTATTTATTATCTATCATTGACTTCCATATGAAAAATGTTTAGCTTACAAGTCAAGATTTTCCTAAGTGTCAGCATTATGCGCTCAGCATGATATCTAATATTCCAGATGTACTCCTTCTGTTTCATGCAGTACATCATTCATCACCAACAATAAAGAAATACAGAATCAGAACATAGCTGGTAATTTTGCTGATGTTGCACAAGACAGAACAGATTAGTCTCTGGTCTTCTACAGCTATGACAATCACACAGTGCTGACAGAAATACAAATATGATTTTGCTAAGATTCTAGCTGCAACTTTGATCAAGTACATGCAATAACAAGCTGTCATTTTTACCAGGAAAAAACCCACACCAGACCTGTCATGCAGATGATAGTACGCTATATTGCCAGGTGAAATTTCGTCATAATTAGGAGTGTTGAAAAAAATGTGGTTCAGTTAAATCATAGAATCATAGAATGGTTTGGGTTGGAAAGGACCTTAAGATCATCTAGTTCCAACCCCCCTGCCACAAAAGCAGGGACACCTCGCACTAAACCATGTCACCCAAGGCTCTGTCCAACCTGGCCTTGAACACCACCAGGGTTGGAGCATTCACAACTTCCTTGGGCAACTCATTCCAGTGCCTCACCACCCTCACTGTGAAGAACTTCTTCCTTATATCTAATCTAAACTTCCCCTGTTTAAGTTTGAACCCATTACCCCTTGTCCTACCACTACAGTCCCTAATGAAGAGTCCCTCCCCAGCATCATTGTAGGCCCCCTTCAGACACTGGAAGGCTGCTATGAGGTCTCCACACAGCCTTCTCTTCTCCAGGCTGAACAACCCCAACTTTCTCAGCCTGTCTTCATAAGGGAGGTGCTCCAGGCCTCTTATCATCCTCGTGGCCCTTCTCTGGACTTGCTTCAACAGCTCCATGTCCTTTTTATGTTGAGACACCAGAACTGTGCACAATACTCCAAGTGAGGCTTCACGATAGCAGAGTAGAGGGGCAGGATCACCTCCTTCGACCTGCTGGTCACGCTTCTTTTGATGCGGCCCAGGATATGGTTGGCTTTCTGGGCTGTGAGCGCACACTGCTGGATCGTGTTCAGTTTCTCATCAACCAACACCCCCAAGTCCTTCCCTGCCTGACCTGTAGCTGTGAAATCAGATTTGCTCAGTTCCTTCAAATGGAAGATACACTAAATGAGGATTAGCTCTATGGAATTGCAGAAGGAGGTTAGGACAAATCCCAGGATACAGGAGACATAGTTTCTTCCTCAGCCTGAAGACAGTCAGTTCATAACTCCCATAAGGACAGCATAACTCCTTGCCAGTGAGTACATGTACTGTTGGTACATGTTGCACAAATAATTAAGCATTCTTAATCAGCAGGATAAAAATCTGGAAACTCCACCTTTCAGAACAGCTCCCCTAACAGGAGACCTGAGCCTTTCTCTCACCTTTTCCAGCCTAATAAATGAAACTTAAGCCTTTCAGGCAGTATGGAACAGGCCCTCCTTTAGCAGGACATTTCGGACAGCATTTCAGCTTATTGGTTAGGATTGTTCGAGGAAGCTGCTAGAATCCTTTCTTCCAGTTTAGGTTGGAGAAAAGAAACAGAGACAGACTGAGACAGAGAAAGAAAAAGATAATCACTTTCCTGCCTACGAGCTAGGTCAAACACCTGGATTCTTGTCTTTGCTGTAGTGGATGTTTCAGTATATCTGCAAAGTGAAACTCCAGCCCCATAATGTTTTATTAGCATAGAGCTCAGAGCTTCCTCTTGGGGACTAAGGTTAAAATCCTGTAAGATAAAGCATCCAAGTCTCATAAATTCAGTGAGTGTCTGGGCTACTGCACCATTTGATGAAAGAAGAGTACAGCCAGTGTTACCTCCACTTCCCCAAATCTGTCAGCTTTGTCCATTGGGCTTTTTATCTTCCTTACAAGTAAACTATCTATCTTGGTAATGTTTAGTTAGAATATGTCATGTAGAAACAAAAAGATGTGTGGGGAGAAAAGGGCAGACATAGAATTTGAGGGGATTTTGGCAAATGGAAAAAAATATAAATGTGTAATGTAAATTGATTCTTTTACCCTGGTATTTGAAAATATTTGCAGGCTTCAGCAACAGGACTATAAATAGAAGAAATTCAGCATTATGGGCAAACCTTATAAATTAATTAATTACCTCCTCAAAACTTTGCTATGCAAATAATATAAAATAGAAAAATGAGATAATTAAGCCTCAAAATCCTGTACAGTAATAAAGAAAAGGAATTAACTGTGCAATAATAAATGAAAGGAGAGTTAAGTACCTGAGCCTGGCTTATACCTTTTGGTTATAAGAACTACAGACTATGCTCACATATCTGTGTCATTTACTACGAAGAATATAATGTGGCAATGCTGGTCAGTTGTGTCCTATGTAAGACCCAGACAGCAGCATGATCACTGCCTTATTTCAGGACAAAGAGTAAATCTACAGCTTTTTAGAAAATTATGCACAGCCCTTACATGAATATTCTTTGGGTTTGCTAGGGAATGTTTTGGAAGAAATTTCAAAGTAGAAGAGATGCAGGGTTTGTCTAAAAGTTTTTAGATCATTAAAAACCACAGCCTGTAAAGTCATATGCAGAACCCAACTCATCCCACCGGCCACTAACACTGCAACACTGATCAGATAGAATCACCTCCTCTCAATTCCCATACTAAGCAGTCAGACTCAGAAAGGTCCCAAGACTCACCAAGAACTCTATTCCCCAGAGAACAAGAATTACACTTAGTTCAGTCACTCCAAAAATCTTGCTCAAACCCAAGCTTCACATCATCTCTCAAAGGTCAGCAAATGTAGGCAGTTTTGGACTAAGGATGGG